TAATCTTTACAGAAGCAAACTGCCACGTCTTTCTCCCACGGAGCAGCTGGTGGGTTTCCACTGCAGACCTTTCTGTCAGCAGCTGAGCACTTTAACCTCTGTGTCACCAGGGCTCTTTTCATTAGCCATTAGGGAGATGCAAATGAAAGCCACAATGAGATAACCATCTCACCCCCATTACAATGGCAATGATCAAAAACCAGAAAACACCAGGTCAGAAATGCTATGGAAAAACAAACTCTTATCCACTGCTAGTAGAACTGTAAGGTGATACAGCCACTGTGGAAAATAGTTCGGCAGTTCCTCAAAAAGTTGAACACAGAACTACCATATGACCCAGCAACCACACTGTTAGGTATATACTCAAAAGACCAGAAAGCAGCACTGTGAACAGATGTATGTACACTAATGTTCATTGTAGCATGATACATAATAGACAAAAGATGGAAACAAATGAAATGACCATCAAATGATGAATAAACAAAATGTGGTATATACAAACAATGGAGTATTACACTCAGCCATAAAGAAAAATGAGATCACAAAAGGACAAATACTGCATGATATCACTTATACAAATAAACAAATATATAGAAACAAAAAGTAATTAGTGGTTGCAGGGGTGGAGGCGGGGACTTTTGCTTAGAGGGCTTTGAAGGTATGTTAATGGTGGCAGTATACCTTGGTAAAAGAGAGAGAAAATGGTCATACAACTTGAAGAATGTAATCAATGCCACTGAAGCATACATGCAGAAATTGATTGTTTTGTGTGTTCTTGTGTGTATTTCACTATAAAAACAAACAAAACAACAACAAAAGAGAACCAAGGAAGCTTGAAAATTCTGCACAAAAAAATCCCAAACCCATGACAAAACAAATAGAAATGTGTGTGCTGCTGTTAATGTTCATTATAAAATATTAAGTGAATAAATATTACAAAAAATAAAGAAAGGGTATCTTAGGACAAAACAGAATATTATAGGAGAGGCAGCAAATAAAAGGCAATTTTCTTCAACTTTTAAAGTGCCACAGGCAAGCCAATCAATAAGTCCACTTCTTTCACATTCCCTTCTCCCTTTCCCAATTTTCCCCTTCTCTACTAGGTACTTGATTTCCTGGGCATTCTCACTACTTCTTCTATGGTTAGTCTCTACCCGATCCCTTTTACTTCCTGGGCTCATAGCGTGTTCCCATTTGTTACCCCCTCATTTATTCTAAGTCTAACCAAGACCCTCTCCTCTCCCTCACTCTCTCCCTAGCCCTAGGACCATTACTCCTGCCTGCCTCTTCAATACGTGGTTCCCTGGCTCTTCCAAACCACTTGCTACAAGCTAACACGGTCTTCAGTACACTACTCAATCTATTGACTAAATAATAGGCGTGCTGGTCACTAAGGCCAAAGAGCTAAGCTACAAAGAACTAAAATAGATTCAAAGGAAGCTTTAAAGTCAGAAAGGTGAATGGGACAGGTGGAGAAAAAAAATTTAGTAAGAAGAGTAGCACTGTTTTACATTTTTACAAATTTCTTTTAAAATTTTGGTTAAGAGAAGACAACTGGCTTCTCAGATCTGCTACTATCTGTTAGCTGAAGTACATGAAGAGAATTAAAATTCCACCTCACGCTGACATGTAGCTGGAAACGGAAGGAGTAGTTTAAAGCCTTTTCAGATACTTGTGGATAATCTTCTTTGATAGTACACCAAAACTCACCAAGTGGTAGTTTCTTAAAGGTTAGTTGCAATGTGGAATCTGAAACCTTATCAGTTAACTTTCCATACTCTGTTCCATTAAAATCCACTGGTCTATGTGGTAGACAGTCTCTAAGATGGTCCCTAATGATCGTTGCTGTAACCTATATTCACATTCTGTGTATGAATTGTATGGAACAGGATTTAATAACTTAATTCTACTGAATAAAATGTGGCAGAGGGGATGGAATGGATGTCACTTCCAAGATTAGGTTACATTCTGGGCTGCCCTCTCTGGCTCTCTCATTTGCTATGTGGTAAGAAGCTGCTGTCTTTGGCCAACACTCACATGAGTGAGTTTGGAGGCAGCTCCTCCCCGGGTTAAGCTCTGAGATCACTACAGCCCTGGCTGACACCTGGACTGCACCCTTGTGACAGACCCTGAGCCAAAGGCACCCAGCTAAGCCACAATGGATTCTTGACCCACAGAAACTGAGATAACAAATGTTTGTTTCAGGCCACTAAGTTTTAGGGCAATTTGTTACAGAGCAATAGATATTTAATACAGTGTATTCTGCACTCTGAGTGGATCTCTTACCTATGCACAAGTTTGTAGTACGATGCATTGGTCATTTGAAAATATTTGTTCACTGAGTTATGCAAATATCCTCAATATTGACCACTTCATTATACCACATCAAAAAAAGCTACATCTGTTAATGTTATTACTGATCTCATCAGAAAGTCTTTAAGTACTGGGAAGCTGTCTTGCTCACAATGGTGGATACAAATTTTCTGAAATACTAATTTTTGCCTGAGAACTCACTTCTTTTAATTACTGGCTACAAATACCATCAGTTGTGTGCCCCTTGAAGTAGTAGACACACTTTGTTCATTTTTCAAGTATCTGCCAAATGCCCAAGTCTAAATGACTATCATTTGTTAACCATTTTTCAAGTAAAATAGTGTTTTATGAAAAAAGGAGCTAGATCAGCTCACGAATCAAACAACCACACAAGTGCTTTTCCTTATGACAGCCACCATACTTCAATATGTAAAAGTACTTTATGCATACATCCTTTCATCACACAGAATATTAAAAAGATGTACACTCAAGGGTCAAGATATAATAAAATTTACTGCTCTGACAGGTATCACAATAGAGAGTCCCAGACAGAGCTGAAGAAAAATGTAGAATACCATTAAAATTCACAAAAAAAGACCAGACTTACTGGTCTGACAGAGACTAGAGGAATCCCCTAGACTATGGCCCCTGGACACCCTGCTAACTCAGAACTGAAATGGCTCCCAAAGCCCATTTTTCAGACAAAGATCAGACAGGCCTATAAAACAAATAATAACACATGTGAGGAATGCACTTATTAGTTCAATCAAATATGAGATCAAACGGGCAACTTCTGCCCAAAAGCCAACGACAAGAAGGCAGGAAGGGACGGGAAAATTGGATGAATGACACGGGGAGCCCTGGATTGCAACCAATGCCACAAAACAACACGTGTATAAACTTTTGAATGAGAAACTAACTTGAGCTGTAAACTTTCACCTAAAGCACAATTAAAAAACATATATTTAATAAAATTAATATTTTTTCTTGCTTCATTAAGAACACTACTACGGAAGAAAGGCCTGGCGATCTACCTCCCCAAAAATCAGCCATTGAAAACTCTATGGAGCAGTTCTACTCTGACACACACGGGGTCACCATGAGTCAGAGTCAACTTGACAGAAACTGTTTCTTTTATTTTTTAAAATAAATTATATGTTGAAATGAAAAAAAAGAACATTATTAAATAAAACTGCACCTCCCACCCTTAAAACCGTGAGTGCGTGGCAGTGAACTAGTAGCAGTTTGGTATCACTGCTCTGATTCATCTAACATACCAGCAGTTTGACTCACCATTACTTTTGAACCATCAGTGCAAAGGTCAACACAGTGAAAAAGGCAAAGAATATCTTAACATTATTATCAAATTAATTTGACCTTACAGACCCTGATGGGATCCCAAACCCCACAAAATTATTGCTTTAAATCAATACTGATGTAAGAAGAAAATAGTTCTCCAAAGACCTTTTTCAAATTATAATACAGTCTAACAATGAAAGTTAGGACTGGCTTCCTAACTGTATATAGTCATTCTCATTCCCCTCCTTAATTATGCCAATCCAGAGGTAAAACGAGGAAAGGAGGGTTTCAAATGGAACTCTCTGTTCAAAAGCAAGATAGCGCAGAATCTACTTCCTGTAGTTTTCCTCATTCAAAGATCCTGTCATATTTCTTAAAATAAAGAGAAGATAAAGCTTCCAAGGACATTACTCCTCAGCTCCAAAATCTATTCGTAACATTTATATTGAAAATGCTTTATTACTTTTGGTATTAACAGCACAATGACTGGCTGAACTGAACAGTCCAGAAAACACGTACACACTTCAGTTTCAGACCTTATAGTTTTCTTCTACCCATCTTTACATATTTCTAAATACAGAGGGTATTTTTTTTTATTTCATGTTACAATAATATTCCAAAGCCGCCTAAAGGTGTATCTTATAAAAACTCTCAACTCAGGTGCTCTTTCATATCCAAAGACATGGTTTATTTAATTTTCTTCATCTTTTTCTTATAACTTACTTCTCCTCTATTCTAGTTTACCTAAAAAACTTTTTATAGATCTCTTGTTCTCAACTTTCAAAATAAACTATTTTTCTGCATTATTGTTAATATATACAATATACGTTTCTATGTCTGCTCAACTAGATTAAAACTCTATCTTCTAGTTTTTATAAATGCATTAATGTCTAAAATAAATAGTTCACAAGAGGGAAATCAGTGCTTATTAAACTAAAACTATAAATTTTCTTTAACTCTGATTAAACGTTCCATTCTCCACCATCTTCTCTATGGACCCCAACTGATATCACAATTCTTTCCATAAATTAGGGGTTACTATCTCCTCTGGTCAAAATAGAAATAACACTTCTAGAAATTAAGAGAGGGATGGTGGAGGTACATAAAGACAGTAAGGATATGGCAGAATCCAGAAAATGGCAGTAGTTCTTTTTGCTAACTTTCTGCCTTTTGGCCTTCTACAATAAATACCAATTTTTTCAATCTGGTTCACTCCTTCGAAAGAGCTAACTGTGCAACTTTCCTGAGAGGAGTAAAAAATACAAGATAAGAATTGACTCTAGAAGTAACAATATCTGAGCAAGCCTTCACATCTTTTGACAGTTTCATTAAAATCTAATATACAATATTAAAGTCAAATAAAGCTAAGGAAAAAAAGGTGAACTTACCACCAAACAAAGGTTCTGGCTCCACCAATATTTCCTGCTTCTGAGGAATTGGGGCACGAACTTCTTCTCTATTTTTAAAAAAATAAACAGGTGGGAAAATACCAAAATGAAAACTCTTTCCTGTTAACTGTTCTCTTTGTTAACTATTTATGAATACATTCTAATTAACAAGTAAAATGAAAACCAGACTTGGTGACTTTTAGGAACCATGCTAAGTCATAATAATTTTTAGATGGTTTCCACGTAAGATCAACTGGAATAAAGTACCTGGCATAGATAGCTCAAATGTTTTACAGAGAAAGAGAACAAACAGAGAAATAAGAAATGTTTCCCTTTCTCAACTTCTCTACCTGAAATTCTTTAAGCAAAAAAATAAAAAAAGGCTTAACAAAAAAAATCAGTATTACATTACATCAAGTAATATATAATTAAATAAATTAAATAAAAAAGATATATTAAAATAAGCTTAAACAGTCAGTGAATTTTATGCTAATTGTGAAAAAGGCTAACATAAGTATTATATTACTTACTAAATAGACCCTAATATGTATACAGAACAAAAAAAAAATCATGACTCATCTTTTGAAAGCTTATAAACTCTTCAAAGATATCTCTACAGGGTCTACTAAGAATTTATCTCTTCCAGTGAAAAATACTCATTCACAAACACTGTAAAAATATTGTGTATTCCTTTAAAAACTGGGTCAATTATTTTAGTCTTACCTCAATTAAATTCTCTGCTGATAAATGTTCATAGCAAGTAATCACAACTTTCAAATTTATTATCTCCCTGCTTATATCAAATGTTACTTTAAGTTAGGCCTAACGCTTTCCATTCAGGTGTTTCAAATAGTAACAACAGAGCTTAACTCCCTGTTTTTGGTATCTAAGACTTGGAACTCCAAAACATGCTTTACAAAATAAACAATTCATCAACAATTACTAACATCATGTAAACAAAGAAAAACTAGTTAAAGACACCTACAATAAGTCAAATGACTGAAGCATAAAGGATAAGTCAAAATTATGTTAAATTTCCTACTGGACATTAGTCACTACTTGCACACAGAATTTCAGTAACTCAAAGACTACAAAATAATACACCTCTAATAGACCTGTAAGAGGAGATAATACACCTGTAATCTCTGTTAATCTTTTCATCAAAGAGAAATACACCCATTAATTACCTTAAGAAAACTAAGACTTTAAAAGAAAACATCTTTTACTTAAATAAATCATTCCATCATTGGTATTACGTATTTTACTTTGTGTATGCGTATCTGTATATATATTTCTAAATCTAAGACAATTCAATTATGCAAAAAAACAAACTTTAATCTGATGAAATAGACCAATGAGGGGGATGGAGTAAGTAGTGTTCCCTATACAGAAAGACTTGATTACTATATATTTAAGTGTATTTGTTCCAAGAGTGTTAGCTACCTAACAGAATGGAAAGACAAGACAGAAAAAGGTGGGCTGTTAAGAGTGAAAATTATAGTTTAAGAACTAGGAGTCACTATGAAATGTTAGGAGCCCCGGTGGTGGAGTGGTTAAGAGCTCGGTTGCTAACCAAAAGGTTCAAATCCACCAGCTGCTACTTGGAAACCTTATGGGGCGGTTCTACTCTGTCCTATGGGGTCACTGTGAGTCGGAATTGACTCAATGGCAACAGGTTTTTGGTTTTCACCAAATGTTAAACAATTACCAATACAAACAATCTAAGTCAAATTATAATACAAGTCAGTAGGAAAAGATATTCATTTATCAAAACTTTTTAAAAAATACAATTAAGAAAACATGCTTTATACAGTGAGGGGGACCAATATACTCCCCAAAATCCATTGTGAACATCTGTTATTCAAGTTCCTGTAAGCTGAATCTGTTTTCATATTGATTTTCATTAACAATCTGAGCTATATCGGAAGAGAACGGGATATCACACTTGAAATACATGGCCAACATTAACAGAAAAAAAACTTTATAAAATGTTAATAATCATCTCTAAAGTTCACATTTCATGTGGAAACAATATTACTTTAGAAACTGGAACTAGAGCAACAAAAGAGGCAATTATGTCCTGTATGTGATTTGGCTTTTTAAATTTATCTTTAGTTTAATAAAAATAACCTATTCCTATTTAAGAAGATCCCTCGTTTAGTCCCTCATGTCATAAACGCTGAAAGTCATAAAGGGTTATGAGCATTTAAGTCTCATTTAAGGATCTTTTAAATTTTTATTTCAAAATCAATGGTTTTCCTTTGAACACAGTTCATCTATAATGTTTTCTAAAGACAGATGGAATTTTGTCCAACAAGTATTTTCAAACTCATATTGGTTATCAAATGTAAAGAGTAAAAACACCAAGTCTCTTTGCCATTTATTACTATCCTCTATATATTACACCTCCATATGCTGAAGGTGCTTCTAATGATTAACTAACATGTAACTAAGATATAAAGGACTGGAGTTATTTTTCAAAAAGTTTCATGGCAACTTAAAATTTTCCTGGGACAATGGAGGAAAATCTAGAATTGGGAAATCTGAGCTTTTTGGGGCATTAATTCCATAAACGCTACTTAACTGCTGGGTCAGCTTGGGAAAATAGTTATGCCTCTGCTTCCTTATCCTTATTTATAATAATGTCATCCTATAGGGTTCTTTTGAGAATCAAATAATAGATGTAACAATGCTCTAGAGAATTTACAGTATACCAGTATGAATATTTCATTTGATGCTTTTTCAAATGCTTTCAACCTTTAATTTTTTTCAAAAGCAGAGAATTAACCTAACTTTGATAAAAATATAACTGCTCAATTTAGGCAGGAGGTGCTCCTAACAATGACGAATAAATTCATACTCTGCGTGTGGTCTGCCAGTGGAGACGCTTGCTGAACTGGTACTGGGCTCTTCAGCGATTCCGCCACCATCCAAAAACATAGTGACCGCCATCTCCAGGTTATTGCTGCAGGCTTCAAGCATATGTTTCCCTACACTTTCACTTGCACCTGAAACAGCAAAAAAGACAGAAAGAAAGTAAAAAAAGACACTTTCTTATACTCAGCTCATATCAGAGTACAGAATTCCCAAGCAAATTAGTAGTACTCTTTCCCTTTTAGACTAAACAACCTTTTTTTTTTTTTTAAACTCATTAGTTTACTTTTGAACTGCTGGCTGGCTAATGTGAAATATACAGAGCTAGAAGAGAATGAAGCAGCATTAAAATAGAAGTCTTCCTTCACAATAAAACAAAAATTAAATAAAGCAATTTGCCATTTCTTTCAATGGTCTAAGTATATATTTGTTAATAAACTAAAAAAAGATGACTACATGCTAGAAAGTCAGAAATGCTTTCTGTTAGGATGAAGGCATTTCTGCTAGCATTTGTTAAAAATATTTTTAAAATCAATGCAAGAGAAATGAGATGGGACATTTTTGTCTAAAACACAACTAAGTCAAAATCCAGTAAGAAACTGTCAATCCTCAGCATTTAAAACTGGCCCTATCACAGACTTACTCATTTGTAAACAAAGTGAGCACAGTTTGCTAGATGCAATGTATATTGGTAAAGCCCTTTAAAACTCTTTCGTGCGTGGCAGTACATATAGCGACCATGAACGTCTTCAGCCTTTGGGGTTTAGTGGGAAGTTACTGTACCACTGACAGCAGCAGCAAGGTAGGGCTGCCTTTATGACTGTTTGAAACTGAAGAAACAGGCATACGCCACAAATTACCGTTTTTAAAGGGTATCATACGCAATATTTGAGTTTTGGGGAGAAAAAATAGAAATTTTGAAAATTTTCATTTCTTACACATAGGTACTAATAAGACCCCAGTGGGGACACTGGGGTATAATTAGTGGTACTTCATATGTACCACTAAACACAGTAAGCTTGTGGGAGGGGGCAAGGAAAAAAATCTGTACTACCCACCAAAAATTCAGACACACTCAATGATTCACCATGCTTCCATTAATGAAAACACATGGTATTAACAAAAAATTCAAAGCAGAAAATAACTGGGCTTCCAAAGGCTTATTAAGAAAACAATTTTACATACATCAAGAAACATAAAAATGCTTGCTCCTTTGTGACCTGGTAATTTGGGCCTTGTTATGGGTTAAATTGTGTTCCCCCAAAAGATATACTGAAGTCCTAATCCCTGAACCTGTGAATGTGACCTCGTTTAGAAAGAAGAGTTTTCTTTTGTTATGTTAATGAGCCATACCAGAGCAGGGTGGGTCCTAAACCTAATCCCTTGTAATTGGTGTCTTATAAATAGGAAAACAGACAGACAAACACACATGGGGAAAGATGCCATGTGAAAATCCATCTACAAGCCAAGGAACAAGAAGAAATGCCTGAGACTGCCAGAAGCTAAAAGAGACAAGGAATGCTCTTCTCCTGGAGTGGACAGAGCATAGCTGGCCGGCACCCTGAATCTGGATTCCTAGCCTCCAAACTGTGAGATAATAGATTTCTGTTCCTTAAAGCTACCCATCTGTGGCATTTTTGTTACAGCAGCACTAGGTAAATAAGATAGGCCACCAGTCAAAAGAAATAAATTTACATAAAAGACTACATGCACGAATGTGTCCATATACATACCCAGCATAGTTTTAGTTAATACTGAAAAACTGCAAACAACATACATGTCCAGTAATAGGAGAATGTAAACTGTAGTACGGGTAGTCCCCAACTTACAACAGGGTTCTGTTCCGATGACTCCATCATAAATCAGTTCTGACATAAGTCGAGTATCTTTTTTTAAAGTTTTCATTATTATCTTTTATTATCAGTATATTTAAAATCTGATCTTTGAACATCTGAGAATGGTAACAGCAAATTACGCACTGCAACATTGTATGTAAGTACATATTACTAACAATAAGATGTAAAAAAAAAAAAAGATCATAGTGCGGTTTGTCATAACTCAAGTACATTGATTCATCATAACTCGAATATGTCGTAAGTAAGTCGGGAACTATCTGTATCTATTTGATAGAATATTTTGTAGCCATTAAAAAGCATTTCAGACTTTCTGTTTGGGATGACTTTCCTTCTACCTGAATCATGTTCCTTCAAATTTCGTTCAGTGAGATTTTTGGTGGTGAATGCTTCTTCTAAGTTTTTGTCTGAAAACGTCTCTATTTTGCTGTCATTTCTGAAAGGCAGTTTTATTGGGTATTCTATTCCAAGGTTAACAAGTTATTTTCTCTCAGAATATTGAGGGTATTATTCCAATGTCTTATGGCTGTGCTGCTGCTGGAAATCAGTTTTCAGACTAAAAAAATATTTTTATAGCAATCTGTCATTTCTCTCTGGCTGCTTTTAAGATCTGTCTTTGGTCTTCTACAGTTTCACTCTAATTTGTCAGGGCTGATTTTATTTACCCTCTATGGGATTCACCGGGCTTCCCCACCTGAGGGCTGATATATCAATTCCGAAAAATTCTCAGTAGTTTCTCTTTGACCATTGCTTCGACTCTCCATTCATACTTGTTTCCTTCTGGAACTCCAATTACATGTATGTTAAAACTCTTCACTCTATCCTTTGTGTCTCTACCTTTCTTTCATATGTTTATCATCTCTTTATCTCTCTATGCTAAATTTCTTCAGCACTGTCCTCCAGTTGACACATTCTCTTTTCAGCTGTGCCTGATCTTTTTTTACCTGTTCACTAAGCTTTTAATTTCAGTTACGTATTCACAAGTAGAGATTCTTTTCTTTTTTTTCCCCCTAATCAGCTTGGTCATGTTTCAGGGATCTTTACTTCATATTCATATTTCAATCCTTTCATTTCTTCAAACATATTAATTGAGCTTACTGAAATTACTAAGACAAAACAAATTTCTGCAGTCTCTATGGGTTATCATCTTGTTTCTATTGGCTCTTGCTCAAGGTGTCACGGGTTTTGTGATGTTCTGACTGTGACTTCATGGGCCTTGGAATTTTAATGTGTAGATTTTTTGTTTTTTATTTGTTACTGTTGAGAATATACACAGCAAAACATACATCAATTTAACCATTTCCACACGTACAATTCAGTAATACTGATTACATTCTTCAAGTTCTGCAACCATTCTAACCCTCATTTTCTGAGTTGTTCCTCCCTCAATAACATAAACTCACTGGCCCCTAAGGTCCCTATCTAATCTTTTGAGTTGCTGTTGTCCATTTGATTCCATATATATATAGTTCTTAAGAGTATAATGCTCAAGACAAACATTTTTACTAAATTAAGCTAAGCTACTGCTTGGTTTTAAGAAGACTTCAGGGGATATTTCTGGTTTAAGGTTTAAAAATGATCTCAGGGCAATAGTTGCAGGGGTTCATCCAGACTCCACGGCTCCAGCAAATCTGGAGTCCATGAGCATTTGAAACCATGGCCCTACACCTCCAAACCAAGGAACCAAATCGCATAAGGTGTTTGGTTGCATAGCAGCAGCCTCGGTAGCTTTTTTTTTTTTTTTTTTTGCCGTTGTTTGTAAACATGTCTATCACACAGCTTTTGCCAATTCAACTTCTTACAGGTGTACAACTTACTAACAGCAATACAATAATCAGCTATGCAATTCTACCCTTATCAATGCAATTTTTCCACCACTGCAAACCAAAACTCCATACCCCGTAAGCAATAACCCTGCCTTTCCCTCCTCCCTCTCGCCCTTGGTAACCACTAATAAACTTTGCTCTCTAGACACTGCCTTTTTTTGTCTTTTATATAAATGGAGGTCATACAATATTTGTCCTTTTGTGATTGACTTATTTCATTCAGCATAATGTTTTCAAGCTCCATCCATATTATAGCATGCATCAAGACTTCATTTCTTGTAGTACAAAATTCTAACTTACAAAAAAAAAAAAAAAACAGATATACTGGCCTGACTGACAGAGACTGGAGAAATCCCGAGAGTATGGCCCCCAGACACCTTTTTAGCTCAGTAATGAAGTCACTCCCGAGGTTCACCGTTCAGCCAGTGATTACACAGTCTCATAAAACAAAATGAGACTAATTGGGCACAATAGTCCAGGGACAGGACTAGAAGGCAGGAGGGGACAGGAAAGCTGGTAATAGGGAATCCAAGGTTGAGAAGGGACAGTGTTGACATGTCATGGGGTTGTTAACCATTGTCATAAAACAATATGTGTACTAACTGTTTAATGAGAAAGTATTTGTTCTGTAAACCTTCATCTAAAGTACAATTAAAAAAAAAAAAAAAGACTTCATTTGTCCTTCTAGCTAAGTAGTGTTTAATTGTATGTAAGTACCACATTTTGTTTATCCATTCATCTGCTGATGGGTATTTAGGCTGTTTCCACCTTTTAGCTACTGTGAATTATGCTACAATGAACACTGGTGTACAAGTCTTTTGGGTATATACCAAGGAGTGGAATTGCTACTATAAGTCTCCTAACTGATCATTTTTCTATCTTCTACCTTGCTGCTGAGGGTTAAGTTCTAAAATACAAATCTGATTATATCACCCATCTGTTTAAAATTCTTTAATGGTTCTCTAACTGCTACACAGTTTTCACATAAGTCCAGTGAAAGCTGGACAATGAATAAGGAAGACCGAACAAGAATTGATACCTTTGATTTATGGTGCTGGCAAAGAATACTGAATATACTATGGACTGCCAAAAGAACAAACAAACAGTTTTGGAAGAAGTACAGCCAGAATGCTCCTTAGAAGCAAGGATAGCAAGACTTTGTCTCACATTCTTTGGACATGTAATCAGGAGAGACCAGTCCCTGGAGAAGGACGTCATACTTGGTAAAGCGGAGGGTCAGTAAAAAAGAGGAGGACCCTCAAGACAAGATGGGTTGACACAGGGGCTGCAACAATGGGCTCAAGCATAATAATGATTGTGAGGATGGCGCAGGACCAGGCAGCATTTCGTTCTGTTGTACATAGGGACGCTATGAGTTAGAACCAACTCGAAAGCACCTAAAACAACAACTCCTACAGTATAAATCATAGAGTCATATGATCTGGAAAGATCTTT